CAGTTAAAATGAATATAATGGATAAAAGTGTGTCAACATTATGTTGGAGGTGTATAAAAGAAAAGGGGACATACTTACACATGTGGTGGTTATGTGAAATATGAAAGAATGGAATTTAATTTTTAAAGAAATATCTGAAATAATTGGATTGAATAGTCACATGTATCCATTAATGGCTTTACTGAATGTGATTTAATAGTAATAATGATTACAGCTGCAAGGTTAATTTTTGCAAGAAAATGGAGAAATGATGATCAATTTAACTTAGAGGAATGGTATAGAGGACTATGGGATATGGAAATTAATGATACTGACATGTGATACGAAAATAAGAAGAGGCCAATTGAAAAATAATGATTTTAAGAAAATATGGAATGTATTTATGGAATATGTATTTCGGAGAGGGAAGGGGTATACACCAAGGGAAGAAACAATGAAATTTTGGAGTGAAAATGGATTGAATGAAGTTTAATGCTAGTCCTGAAGGTAATGGGGGCACATGTGTAATTGTATCTTATTGTTTTGTCTTTTTTATTGTTTTTATAGTTTTTTTGTGTGGTAGTAGGTTTATGTTTATTATTTAAAAAAGAGAAGGAATGGCTGGGGGAAGTATCTTTTGGTTGGTAGTATTGCCTGTAGGACCTGTCTGTCAACACTAGGAGTATTCTTTCCTTTGCTGCCCCCCTTTTCCCCAAAAGGTGCTTGCCTTGGCCTGTCTTCTTTGAAAAGGTGCTTGTCAAGGTGTTCTGTTGTCGAAAGGTGCTTGGTTTAAAAGGTGTTCCCTCCCTCCTTTGCTGCCCCTTTTTCCCCAAAAGGTGTTTATCTTGCCTTGTCTTGGCTGAAAAGGTGCTTTTCAAGGTGTTCTGCTGAAAAAATTTCTGTTCCCTCCTTCCCTCCCTCTTTTCTTTCCTTTTTTAAAAACCTAAGTCATCTTAGCTTAAAAGGAAAAAGAAGAAAAAAATCTGCCCCTAGTGGTAGGAACAGATTAACCAGCTCTGCATTAGTTCCTATGGGAACTAATGCTTTGACTTACAAACCGCCCCTCGACCTAAGAACCAAAAACAGCCGGAACGGATGAATTGGTTTTCATTGCGTTCCTATGGGAAATTTTGCTTTGACTTATGAACTTTTCGATTTACGAACGTCCTTCCGGAACGGATTAAGTTTGTACGTTGAGGGTTGACAGTACTACAATTGTAATGTAACTTACTTAGGCCGAGAGCGTGGAAAAGCTGGTTTTCTGGACTATCAGAACCCATCAGCCAGCAATTTTCCGGGTTCTGATTATGCCTTAAGTATTACAATAAGAAACTCTCTGTAAGTAACATGTTATATGTAACTGACCTTGTCAATCCTAATATCGCTTTTGCTGACACCTCCCCACCCTCCGAATGGCTCAATTTCTGTGCCATGTAATCACGCAAGCCAAGCAGGTCATTCCTGTGGTGTCCGCCCAGGTCATTAATATTGATGTGCTATCTGCATGGACCAATGAGAGTGCTGGAGAGGCAAAGTCACGAGATAGAAGAGTCTCTGCAGGAGGAGGGGGTGTTTAGATTGGAGATTCGAGGGAGATTGTGATTGGGGGTTCGGGGTCATATTATGTAAAAAAAAGGGAAAAAATTACACGCTTCTATGCATTTCATGCATCTGTCTCATCCTTTGGAAAAAACAATTGTCAGAACTTGTGTTCTGGAGCGGGGACAACTTTCATCAAGACTTCAGTGTTCATACTCCACCAAGACACTGGCATGGTGATGTTTAAAAAACAAAATACCTGTACAGGACTGTCTAGTTTGGCCCTTAGAATCTCCATGTGACTTTTGCTTCGCACAAGGGTCAGAGTAACAGGGGGGAAAAGTGACATCAATAATGTCTTTAAGCATAACTGATCCTTACAAATGGACTGCAGATCTTTCTGCTGCACTTCCACAGTTCTGTCAAAATTATGCTCATGAAACATACAGTTATGAACTTAATCCGTATTGGAATGTAAGTCAAATAGTAAGTCAAAATGTTCGTAAGTCGAAGCACCATTGTCAGAGTAACAGGGGGGAAAAGTGACATCAATAATGTCTTTAAGCATAACTGATCCTTACAAATGGACTGCAGATCTTTCTGCTGCACTTCCACAGTTCTGTCAAAATTATGCTCATGAAACATACAGTTATGAACTTAATCCGTATTGGAATGTAAGTCAAATAGTAAGTCAAAATGTTCGTAAGTCGAAGCACCATTTTCCATTGGAATGCATTGAAAACTGATTAATCCGTTCCAGCCGAAGAAAAAAATCACCAAAACAAAACAAAACAAAAAAAGAACACAGCAAGCCCGATTGGAAGGTGCTGGGGCTTTAAGTGGAAAAAACACCCCTCCAAAAATAAACAGTAAAGCCACCTCCGTTGCTGAGACTTTAAGAAGAAGAAAAAACTCCAAAAATAAACAGTAAAGCCACCTCTGTTGCTGAGGTTTAAGAAGAAGGAAAAATCCTCCAAAAATAAACAGCAAAGCGACCAACAACACAGCACAGAAATATACCCACCCCAGCCAAAACCCACCCAGAACAGTTTTTAAAAGGAGAAAACAGCAGCTTATCTCCCTGCAGACACCCACAAATGCTCACTCCGAAGCAGAAGGAGGCTCTCCCAAGCCTCTGACTATGACAACACACTCTCTAACTGCTGAAAATGAAAGAGCTATAGTACAAATAAGCAGCCTCATTGCCACCTACAATTAGAAATTTGAATTGCCTGCCTTTCCCCCCGCTTTTTTCCATTCGTAAGTTGAAGCTCCATTTGGAAGCCGAAGCAAATTTTTGTGACCAGAGCTGTTTGTAAGTTGAAATGTTTGTAAGTAGGGATGTTCGTAAGTTGAGGCACCACTGTAAATCTGAGTAGTTACACTCAGGTTCATCCAGTGATGAACTTTGTCTCTTTTATAGGGCTTCGAATATAGTCGTTGTGGAAATCCTACTCGTGATTGCTTGGAAAAAGCTGTGGCAGTATTGGATGGTGCTAAGTACTGTAAGTCCTCAAGGTTTTCCATTTGTCTTTGGTCCATGGTGTATATATCATTTTCAATCTCTAGGAAGTTTATTAGAAAACAACTGTGTAGGTTTATAATAAATCTGATCTTGGCGTTATGCTTTGCAGTGACATAATTACATCGTTTTGTTTAATAAGTTTTTTAAAAACTTCACTAGAATGTTTGTTTCTGGCATTGGTACATTTGAGAGCTCAAATTTGCAAGTGCAGCGTATATAGATTTTAAAACCCTGCATATGGTATAAGCATTTCCAAAGAGGTAGCCTTGTTCTTGTAACTAACATTTTGGACAAGATGCTACCATTAGACAGAATATAAAGAGGCAGAATGGTTTCCTATAAGCAATGGTGTTGGACAGAGGTGCATTTTATCCCTTTATCTGTTCAATCTACATGCAGAACACATAGAGAAAGCCGGACTCGATTCCAGTGAAGACTGGTGAAAGAAACATTGATAATTAAGATATACAGATGATACCATATTGCTGGCGGAAAGCAGCAATAACTTGAAACAATTTTTAGTGAAAATGAAAGAAGAAAGTGCCAAAGCAGGGCTGCATTTGAATGTTAAGAAGATAAAAATCATGACTACATAATGGAATTACACAATTTTAATATTGACAATGAAGAAATTGAAATAGAGATTTTTTTATACCTTGGGTCAATCATCACTCCAACTTGAGACTGCAGCCAAGAAATCAGAAGAAAATTGAGACTAGAAAGGACAGCAATTAAGGAATTAGAAAGATTATCATGTGTAAGAATGTGTCACTGGAGACCAAGACCAATAAAATACAGTGGTGCCCCGCTTGATAACGTTAATCCGTTCTGTTAAAATTGTTGTTAAGCAATATCGTCGTCAAGCAAAAGAAAAAACCAATTGAAATGCATTGAAAACCAGTTCAATGCATTCCAATGGGTGAAATACCGCATCGTAAAGCGAAGATCCTCCATAGGGGAAGCCATTTTTGATCGCCGTCTTCTGAAATAGGTCTGGAACTAGCAGGCGGCCATTTTGAAAACCCAATGATCAGCTGTTTTTGATCGTCGGGAAGCGAAAAATTGGTTCTCGAAGTAGGGAACTGATCGTCGTGAAGCAGATTTTCCCCATTGAAACATCATTTTGCGGTCGCAAAAACCTCATCCTGAAGCGATTTTGTCGTTCTGCCGGGGTAATCATCAAGCGGGACACCACGGTATTGTATTTCCAATAACCATGTTTGAGCGTGAAAGCTGAATGGCTAAGAAAGCTGCCAGGAAAAGGTGAATCATACCCTGGACTACTAGAAAAATAAACAAGATTAAATCAAGCTTTAACTATCTCTATAAGCAAAAATGTTGAAACTGAGAGTGTCCTGATTTGGGCACACTATGAGAATTCTGGATTCTTTTGAAAAAACAATAATGCTGGGAATGGTGGAAGGCAGCAGGAAAAGAAGACCAATGACAAGATGCACTGACTCTTTAAACGAAGTCACAGGCTTGAGTTTTTAAAAGCTGGGCAGGGTAGCTTTGGAAAGGACATTTTAGAGATCACTCATTCGTTGGGTGCCAATAAGTCTGAGGCATTTGATCTCACATAACATTAGCAATAGTCTTAGTTTGTCCCAGCATGGTGGCAAAATTAAAGTGGGGGAGAAAAAGGGGGAAAAACAAGATCAAAGTATTGTGGTTTTAAAGTGCCACAATATTTTAGACTAACATATGTTCAGTGTGAACTTTTGTAGATCAACATCTACTTCCTCCTGATCCATGAAAGCTCACACTGCAAAATAGTAAATTTGTTAAAAATGTTCCATTTCCCCCCCCCCATTTTCTTCCACCCCACTTTTCCCTTTCATTTTGGCAGAATAATATCATAACTGAGTGCAACTCGACAGTATAGTTTTGTAGGACAGGAGTAAAAATTTTGCTTTTAGATAAAAACATTGTGTTGACTTTTGGCTCAAAGTCTTTGAAAGTAATACTAATCACATCATTCAGTTATCTTGTGAAAATGTACACGTTCAACCGAGCCAGGTTCTGCCCCATGCATGCTTGCCAAAATATACTGGAAAAGTATATTATTCATTTAATCTAATTTGTATTTCTCTCTCTCTTTTCCCTTTTTAGGTTTAGCATATGCACCTTTTCCCTTTCATTTTGCGAAAATAATATCATAACTCAGTGCAGCTCAACACTATAGTTTTGTAGGACAGGGATACAATTTTTGCCTCTAGATAAGAATTAAGACTATTGTGCTAACTTTTTGGCTCAGAGGTTTTTTAATGTAATACTAAACACATCAATCAGTTATCTTGTAAACATATTCACATTCAAAGAGGCCAGTTCTGGCCCATGCATGCTTGCTAAAATATGCTGATAAAGTAGTTTGTTCATTTAATCTCTCTTTCCCCCTTTTAGGTTTAGCATATGCTTCTGGGACAGCAGCGACTCTGAACATTGCACATCTGCTGAAAGCAGGAGATACTGTTATTTGTACAGTCGATGTTTATGGAGGTGAGTGATATTCTTGTTTATAGTTGGTCTTAAGTTTCCTGGATGTAATCTTGTGGGTTGCCGTCCAGAAGGCATGTAAGTATATATTTAACCTGAGTTTGCATATTTGTGTCTATCCCCTGTTGACTAGAACAGTGGTTCTTAACCTTTTTGAAAGAAAGGCTTCATTTCATAACTTCCAGTGGATAACTTCCAATGAGGAAGTTATCATTGTCCCCTCCCTGCGGCAATATTTACGTATTTATTTATTCAAGACACTTAAATCCAATGACCCCTGAAAATAAAATTCAACTGCAAGAAAATGAAATGCCCCCCCCCAAAAAAACAGTAACATTTAATGATTTAGTTACAGGTTAATTTTAAGATGCAAAAAGAAATATAAAAGGGGCATAAAAACAAACTGCAATGCAGGAACTAAAAATTTCAAGACAAAAACTCTGAAATTGAATTAAAATTTGAGGAAAATATATATTCATGCACACTATAAAAAGGGTTTAAAAGACACAAAGAAAATTTTTACAGAAGGAAAGCAACAGAAATCAGATCGACTATATATATAAAACTGAGAAACCAAACTATAATAGTGAACTGGAGTGCACATTTAAAAAGTACAATACAAAGAGACACACAAAATGTTTTACAGAGCACAACAAAAATTCAAAAGCGAAGCCGAAAACTCAAACTGGAATGTGAAATCCAATGCAAGCAAATACAACAATAAGAGCTGAGACAATTATTAATGAAGAAAATGTATGTACACAAAAAGAAAAAAATCACTGGCTGCCTTGTACTTGATGAGCTGATACCTCTTGATGTCTGGAACCATTTTTAAAATCTCATTCTTAAATCGCCATGCTCAGTGATCTTCAACATGTTCCTTGACTTAAAAAGGATCTGTTAGACAGCGCTGAAGCCCCTCTCCACTAAGTAAGTGGAAGGAAAGGCTAAAATAAGCAACCTAACCTCCTCTCACAGTATTGGGTAAGTGTTCCTCATTGTCACCCAAAAAGCTTCGTGACCATAACTCTGAAAATGTGATTGGGCTTCACAGTCGTATTTCAGATCTGTCAGTGGCTCTTGCAGTTTGGGATGAAGTTGTGCAAAGTCTGCTGTGAAAGGATTTAGTACCCAAGTGGGCACTTTCAGATTTATCAGATCATAGAATCTGGTTTCCATATCTTTTTTTTTAGTTGCTTCAAATGGCAGCAAAAAACATCCAAATCTTCTGCTTGGAGTTGACGTTCATTACCAAGGCTTAGGAACTGATACAGCTCCTGGTGACTCATATTGCTTCAAGAAGGTCCAATTTGGAAATAAAAGAGCAGATTACTCCTTTGGCCTTGATAAAATTGATTTTATCTCCTTGCAGCTTTACGTTCACTTCATTCATCTTGTCAAAAACATCAGCGAGATAAGCTATATCCAGATGTCAAAGTTTAAGAGAACTGCTTAGACTTGGATCAATAGATTCAAGAAATTCGACAACTGTGTCAAAAAGGTCGTGGAATCGCTGCAGACACTTTCCTTTTGAAACCCACCTTACTTCAGTGTGCAAAAGGAGACGTTCAAACTCCTTGTCATTTTCTTCACAAAGCTTGTGAAAAAATTGGTTGTTCAAGGCTTTCGACTTAATTTTATTTACAGCATTAATAATGTAACGTAAGGACTCGTGCAAACGGCACTCAGATTTTTTGAGACAAGGTGCTTTCTATGAACAATGCAGTGGACATAACTCCAGGTACAACCGATTTTTGATGAGCTTGAAATCTACGATATTGTCCAACCATGGATGCAGCTCCGTCGGTTCCACATGCCACAACGTGTGTCAAAGTGATGTTTTTCTCTTTAAAAAACTCTTCAACCTTTTTCAATATCAAAGAACCTTTTGTGTCAGTGGCTAAATTTCGAGCAAATAACAGTTCTTCCCCAATCTCTTCATTTCCATTGATGAAACGGACATAAGCCAATAACAAGGCTTCATTTTCACGAATTGTTGACTCATCAACCTGCATCATGAATTCTGTTTTTTCCAAGTTGTCAGTAAGCCTTTCTTCCACATCAGCAGCCATTTTATCAGTTCTTTTTGATAAGGTGTCATTGCTCAAAGGAACTGATTGCGTGGCAGTGCTTGCACAACATGGTGGCAAAAATCTGTTTCACTGCTGGTAAAATCAGTGTTTCTCCGATAGTGTGAGTTTTGCCACATTTTGCTGTCAACAAAGATACTTCATAGGGACAAATGAGCCCCTTGTTGGCATTGAGTGACAATTTTTCCAAATAACTTCTCAACAGTGCTGCAATCCTCAAACGTGGCCCTTAAGGATTGGAAAAATGATACCGATTTGTCGGCTTTATCCGAATGAATTTTTTCCAAATGGTCTTTCAGTCAGGAAGGCTTCATTGCTTCATTTGAAAATGATTTCTCACAAAGAAGACAAAACGGAAGCTCTACATTGGAAGGAGATGGAATGAATCCCAGTTTTAGGTATTCCATCGAATATTGGCGACACTTCCTCTTCTTGGCCATGTTGAGAAGTCTTCAAAATGAAAGAGGCAGTGGCAGTAGGGGATTGTGGGAGTTGTAGTGCAAACCATATGGAGCACCGCCACCACCCACTTCTTGAAGCAAACTGGTATACTCAAGCCACTCACATGCTGCCCTTTTCACCTTCACTGAACGGATCCTCGGGCTTCAAAGAGAAAGAGGAGTGGCTGACTTTCCGCCGTGCATTTGCGATCCCGCCCAAAGAGATGCGGAGAAAGAGGAGTGGCTGACTTTCCGCTGTGCGTTTGCGATCCCGCCCAAAGAGATGCTGCGCCACCCCAAACGGACCTGTTTCTCTCCACGCTTCCCTTGCACCAGGCGGGAAGGTGGGCGGGAAGGCAGGATGGACAAACAGGGCTCGTCTCTTCCTCTGCACCTGGGTGCAAGGTGCAGTGCTTCACTGGGTGAGGACGGAGACCCGAGAGACCGTTTCCTTCCACCCAATCCACACTCGGTGCTCCCCTAAGGGAGAAAGGCAAGACGTGGCAGGCAGAAAGAGCGGGATCGTCTGGTGGCGGTGGTGGCGGTACCGGATCCACTGCCAGCACCGTGGTGCAGCCGCCTTCACAGGTCTGGCTCGCTCCAGCGCCCCCCTACTCCCCCTTCTGTTCCTTCACCCCCACGCCATCCTTTTTCATTCTACCGCCCCCCTGAAAAATGAAATCGTCCCCTGGGGGCGTTATTGCCCACATTAAGAACCACTGGACTAGAGCACTGAGGGTGACACAACAGGTCAACCTAGGTCTAGTTTAGTCTGCGACGAACAAAAAACATTAAACATAATGTAGGTTGAATTTACAAGGCAGTCAGAGCTAAAAGAAAGGAAAAAGAGTTAAAGGAAGCTTAAAATCATTATCCATTAAATCTTTATATATCTTGCATGCAGTTGCAAGAAATTTTGCACAGGTGAGTGTAATTTGGGGATTAAGGCCTAAAAGTAGTTTATGTGAGATCTTTGTTTCAAGGCAGCCAAAAAAATTGGTTAAGCAAAGGAAGAATAAGCTTAGTACGTGGTTCAGGATAGAGCCAGTAATGTAATACAGTGGCGCCTCGCATAACGAGTGCACCGTTTAACAACGAATCCGCATAGCGACGCGTTTTTTGCTATCACTTTTGAGATTGCATTGCGATGTTTACATAGGGTAAACATTGCATTGTGATGATGGGTAAGCATTTCGCTTACCGATCTTCGCATTGCGATGTTCTGGGAACAGCTGATCGGCGGTTCCAAAATGGCCACCGGATCAAGAAAATGGCCGCCCGCAGTGTTTTCGCGCCCAGCCCTCGCTTACCGAGATGGCGAAAATGGAGGCCGTATGGGGAATCTTCACATAAAGGTGAGTTTTGTCCCCATAGGAATGCATTAAACAGGGTTTTTGGCCCCATATAGCGACGTTTCCGGATAGCGATGCTTATCCGGAACAGATTATCATCGCTATGCGGGGCACCACTGTATTACGTGTAGCGATGGGATAGTATTATTCTTATATGAATACAAATATCCTGGACCCAGGTGGCTGGGAAGCTCTGTCCTGCCTCTCCAAACTGACTCATCCACTTATGGGTTGCTGCGCTGCCCACACGGTCTGCTCATCATACCAATCCCGCATGTAGCCTTGCTGGTACATCTCCACCTCCCTGCACTGCTGGCCACTCCAGGCAGGGGGGTGAAATGATGAGTCTTCCCACTCAGCTGCTGAGTGGCCAGCAGTGCCGGGAAGCAGGGACATGCCAGCTGGCTACGTCCAGGATTGGTATGACAAAAAGGATGCTGGCCCCGTGTGCTGCGCCACCTGGGTCTCGGATATTTGTATGCAAATGTGAATATCCCATTTCTAGTTATGTGTTTAGTTGATTCTACTGTGCCATCATTGTAAGGACAAATTCTCTCTGCCTTAGGGATATTTTTATACTTCCCATTAGTAACCTCTGAGGGAAGAGCATGCCATCCAGTTAGTGAGAAAGCCCTGTGGTGGGTAGGCAACTTCAGGAGAGAGAGCTAGGCAGCCAGAGCTACAATATACCTAGAATAATCTGCTGTGAAAAATTTGGTGGTTCTGCTAACATCACCTTGTCTGTGTCAAACACTCCTTATTTGACAAGTGGAGTTGCCTTGTCTAATCCCATTGTAAGGAAAGACTCAGAGGAGAAGCCTATAGATGTTAACTAATTGGATCTGAAATCCATCTTAAAACCCAGTCTTCATTTCATATTATTCCCACTAAACAACCAGGGTGCCAAGCCAGTTGGACAGCCAATTGGAGCAGAGGATAAAGACAGCTTTAACAGAAGAGGAGATGTTGAAATGCCCAGCAGCTATTATGGGAAAGAAAGAACAATGGGACCCTCTGTGAGGGTTCAAATGTTGCCTCGTCCAGTTTTGACATAGACGCTGGAGACATCCGTTTTGTAAAATGAAAACTAGGCTTTATTGGAACATGTAAAATCAAATCATTAGTCTCTAACTCGACTTCAACTTTGTCTCTCATGACCAACGGGTTCCACAAGGGCATCCAAACATCCTTACTAAACGGGTTATAGTCCAAGTCATTCCAGGGCCCTTGATAAAGGGGTTGTTACTTTCTAGTTCAATCATTTCAGTCCCTGGGTCTAATAATGGGGTGGTCTCCTCCTCTCTCCCCTCGGGTTCATAGGAGTCTTCCTCTCCTCGAAGGGGTGCCCACAGTCCATCAGTAATCCTTTCCTCTGGGCTTCCTCCAGACACCATAGCTGCCTCTCTCTGTCCTCTCTTTTTACCGCCTCCTTTTCCTCTTGGAGTCTCCTGCGCCACTCTCGCGCCTCTGACTCACCCCAATTAGAAGGACGCGGTGGAAGCCCCCTTCTCCTTCTGTAATCGGCTTCCTCTCTAGGGACCCGGAGCGTTTCCCATTTCCCAGTCCAGGGGTCCTCTAGCCAAATCATTTCCCAACCGCCTGGTATAACGTCCACCTCCCCTTTTATATCCCCCATTCCCGCCTCTGGGATGGCCCTTCCCTTTCTTCTCTTCCCGCCAATTCTCTCTCTGTCTGAGTGGCTACTGTCACCTTTGTCAGTTCCCGTTCTAACTCACGGGTATCCACTCCCTGTTGTATAGTTGTGACGGGTAGTGTAGGAAGGTCTGTCTGTGCCTCCTCTTCTTTTCACCATCCAACAAAAGAAGAAAACCAAGAGACCTCTTCCAGAAAATCCAAGAAATCAAAGTGAAATTTAAGCCTAGGTTAGGAATGCTGAATAACAGGGAAGCACACTATCTGACCAGGATAAAATAAAGAGAAGGTGGAAACAGTATACAGAATAGGTAAAAGAATGACAGATTACTTCATCATCCCATGATGAAGAACCTATAGTTTTAGAAACTGAAGTGAAAGCTGCCCTGAAAGCATTGGGAATAAATAAATCAGATGGAATAGATGAAAAACCAATAGAATTATTTCAAGACACAGAGTGAGCCTACTTTACTTGCAACTCACTACTGGATTTCAGCCACTGTTTAATTTTCAGACAACAAGAACAATAATTCAAGAGAGCTAAACAGTCAAGAAATAGATTTGTCTTCTCATTCACAGTTTTTTCTGACACTTCCTCTCTGACAAAATGAATGTACAATGCAGATAGTTAAAACTGATTATCTTTGTATTCTAGGTACAGATACTTTTTTCCGAAAAATAGCATCAGACATGGGTCTGAACACTGTTTTTGTCGACTGTACCAAGCTGGAATGCCTTGAGGCAGCTATCACACCAGAGACCAAGGTAACAGAGGAATGCTCCTTGAAGAGTGAATGTTATTTTCTCTTAAACCCTGCTCAGTGCACAACAGTATTGGAAGTATTCTTATTTTGCAGTAGCTATCCAAAGCAAAAGTGCAGGTGACAGCTTTAGGTGTGCACATCTCATTTTCAATGGGCTGCTTAGGAAGAAGGCTCATATAACTGGATTATCTCATTTTCTCACCAATATCTAGCATCCATTTACCAATGTAGGCACATATCATCAAGGCTGGTGCTAGGCTTTTGTGCACCCTAGGCAAGGCCAACTACTTGTGCTAACCCCCCCACCAATTTTCAAAAAAAAATTATAGGAAAAACGGGAAGTACAAAAGTTGAAATTGTGAAAATTTTATTTTGAAAAACTGAGAGAACAAGTAATAGAACCGTCTTCAATTTTCTTTCTCAAATACAAAACAGTTTTAGCACACGAATCATTTTGAATAATCCTATGAAATGTAATGTCTCTTAAATGGTTCTATTTTTGCACATCGAAATCTCATTTTGTGTGCCTTTTCTTCTGCAAATTTTGTCACCGATTCCTTCAGGTCAGTAGCTGATGCTTCAGCATTTTCAACTGATATAGTTGACAAACTAACTGGTCTACTTTGCAACATTCTTGAGCGTAAATATGTTTTTATAAACTTGAGCTTTGAGAAACTGTGTTCACCACTAGCCACTGACACTGGAAGTGTGAGAAGGATCCTTAGAGCAACAGAAACATTAGGCACACTATCCAGGAGTTTTTGTTGCACTATGAAGAGTACTCCTTGTGGTGGCATAGACTTTGGAAGTCTTCGAGCTACTGCTATAAGTTCATAGCACAGATCTTCTTGTTTATTCCCCCAGTTCACCTGCTTGGGTGGCTTCTTTTTGGTCATATCTGTTAAAGGAGCTGCTGTTGTTGAGAACTAGGGAATGAACTGCCTGTAGTAGCCTACCAACCCCAGGAACTGTTCAACCTCTCTCTTGGTCTGTGGTCGATACCACTAGGATATTTTAGTGACTTTTTCTTGTTGAGGTTGGATTTCTCCCTTTCCAACTTTGAGCCCTAAGTATTATACTATGGATAAGGCTATTTTGCATTTCTTTGGATTAACGGTCAACCCCGCCTTTCTTAGCTCTTTCAGTACTCTCCTTATGTGGCTCAGGTGTTCTTCCCAGGTGTCACTATACACAATAATGTCGTCAATATAGGCAGCTGCACAATCTTGGAGAGGGGCCAACACTTTATCCATAAGGCATTGAAATGTCACAGCTGCGCCATGCAGCCCAAATGGCATTTTCACAAATTGATACAAGCCCTTTGGGGTGCAGAAAGTGTTTTTTTCTATCTTGGGTTCTCAGGGGAATCTGCCAATATTCCTTGGTAAGGTCTATAGAAGAGAGATACTTAGCACCCCCTAGTCTGTCTAGCAGGTCCCCTACTTTGGGCATCGGGTATGCATGGAATTTTGATACTGCATTCACCTTCCTAAAATCTATGCTGAAGTGTACGACCCATCCGGTTTGGGAACCATTACAGGGTAGCTTCGCCAAGGTCCCCTTGCTGGGTTCCACTACCCCTAACCGAATCATCTCTTCAACTTCGTTTTCGATGACACCGGCTAATTGTCTAGGCCACGTTCTGTCCTTGGATCTCACTACTACTCCGGGTTGTGTTTCAATAGCGTATTCTACTAAGTGAGTACACCCATGAGTTTTGGAGAACACCTCTGAGAACTCTCCTTCCAGAGATAACACTTGTTCCCTTTGTTGGGGGTTCACTTGTTCATTTATATCCAAAGTAGAGGCTTCCTTTAGGCCCTCACTCTCTGGTCCCAACTATTCTTCCACATCTGTTCCATACAGGCATTCCCTATCTATCCATCCTTTCAATAAGTTTACATGCAGGATCTGCTTCTTTTCCTTGTCTGGTGTCCTTTTTTTCATAGTCTACCTCACTGACTTTCCACAATACCTTATAGGGTCCATGCCATTTAGCAAAGAGTTTGGATGACTCTGTAGGCAATAATACCAGCACCTTTTGGTCTGGTTCAAACTCTCTAGGCTTAACCCTTTTATCATACCCTGTTTTTTGCCTAATCTGAGCTTGTCCCAGCTTGTCTTTAGCCAACTCCCATGCCACCTGTAAGCTGTTTCTCATCTCTACAATTTGTTGCAAGGCACTGTGAGAATGGTCTTCTTCCTCCCATTTCTCTCTGATCAGATCCAGCACCCCCCTTGGGTGCCTCCCGTATAGTGACTCAAAGGGTGAAAAACCTTTTGACGACTGAGGGGCCTCCCTTACTGCAAACATCAAAGGTACCAGGAAGGTATGCCATAACTTGGGTTTTTCTAGCACTAATTTCCTAAGCATGTCTTTTATAGAGTCCGGTTGAAACATTCTAGCAGCCCATTGGCTTGAGGGTGATAAATCAAGGTTTTCATGGGTTTCACCCCCAGCATTTCCCATATCTGTTTAAACATTAAGTTCATGAAATTAAAGCCCTGGTCTGTTAATACCTCTCGGGGAAACCCCACCCGAGAGAAAACCCCCAACAGCTCTTTAGCCAGCACTTTAGCAGATGTGGTTCTCAGAGGAATGGCTTCTGGGTACCAGGTTGCATAGTCTATTATCACCAGGATGTACTGGTGACCTCCTGCTGATTTTGTTAGTGGGCCCACAATGTCCATGGCAATTCTATCAAAGGGTCTATTAACCAGCGACATGGGTATCAGTTCTCCCCCTGGTCCCGCTTTTGATTGGGTCAGCTTGCATACGGGACAGGACTGGCAGTATTCTTCTACCGATTTGGCCATCTTCAGCCAGAAGAATCTCTGATGAATCCTAGCCAAAGTCTTTTGTGCAGCTAAGTGTCCCGCTAATGGTACGTCATGTGCCAGATGCATGATCCAGTCTCGTAGCCGGTCGGGTATCACCATCTGAGAATTACTCCTTGTGGTGGCATAGACTTTGGAAGTCTTTGAGCTATTCCTATAAGTTCAAACCACAGATCTTCAGCATCAATTTCTTTGTTTCCATTATGCATCAATGATTTTTCCAAATTCTTACACGCCTTAAGTACATCTTCAGTACATTTTTTATTGATCTTGTATATGTCATACAGGAAGCTAAACAAGGAATTATATTGTTGTAGCTGTTGGAATCTCTCTTCAACAGATTGTATGGCCATGTCTAAGACAGCATAATAGAAACTTATTTTGAATTTCTGTTTTGGATCTTGTGGTGCCTCCTCTTGTGCGTCATACTCAAACTGCTTTTTTGTTCTCCTTTTGCTAACTTGTTCTGTCTCAAAGTTTGCTAGTATTTCCAGCTCCTTTGTAATGTCAGTAGCATCCATCAAAATTTGTTGAAAACCCGCATCACACCTACAGCCCACAAGGTAATTCTTAGTCAGAATATTAGCAGCCCTTTTTTTTATGAAATGACCCCTGGGTTGCAGTACTGTATAGAGAAACATTTTATAAGACTTTATAAATAATTATATTCCATAGCACTGTTGTGGTATTTATCTTAAAATTTTAAAATTTAAGTTGCATTTTTCCCAAGATGCTATCTGTATAAAACTGTACCTCTCTCAGGTCAGTTCTGCACTCCTCTAAGTTCAGTTCTGCACCCCTCAGGTCAGTTCTGCGACACTCTGAGGTCAGTTTTGTGCCCCTCTTAGGTCTGCACTCTAAGCAGTTGCCTACTTCGCCTAGTGGTAGCTCCAGCCCTGCATATTATGTAAGTGGAGTGCATTAATGTGTCAGTATAATCAAAATTATAGAGTTGTTCCAGGTGGAGCATGCTAGGATATAGGGCAGGAGATCCTTCCAAAATTTTTGGAAAATGGCCAATTTTCTTATGATATCTTGAGGGATTTTCACTGGAATTCATAACACTAGTGAACAAATAAAGCTGCATAGGTCCTTCATTTCAAAGAAAGAAGGGAGCATTGTATTCTCAAAGGCTTTCACAACTGGGATCCAATGGCTGTTGTGGGTTTGTCAGGTTGTTTGGCTGTTTTCTGGAGGTTTTTCTTCCTAATGTTTTGCCAGTCTCTGTGGCTGGCATTTTCAGAGGACAGGAGTTAGAATTCTGTCTGTGTTCTGGTTTAGTGTGTGGGATAGTTTAGTATTTGTAGCTGTAAGATCAGCTTTTTGTCCTTTTCAGGAGATTGGGTGATTATGGTGATCAGGGTGTTTTTTGTTATGAGTGTATTGTTGTGATAAAGAGGAAATTGTCTGTCACTTTTGCGTGCAGTGGTCTTTTGCGTGCAGTGATCACGGGTCCTTGTGGCTGGGTAGAGTTCATTGACCTTTTGCAGGCTGTTTTTCAGTGCTGGGAAAAAGGCTTTGTTGATTTTTAGACTTTATTCTTTTCTGTTGAAGCTGTGCTGGAGTTTGTGCATTTCAATGGCTTCCCTATGTAGCCTAACATAATGATTGCTGGTGTGGTCCTGTACTACTGTGTCTTGCAATAAGATTTCATGTCCAGCTTGTTTCAGGGCATGTTCATCTACTGCCAGTTTTTCCAGTTGTTTTAGCCTGTAATTTAGTGCTTCCTACAATTGAAGGAATGAAAAAGAGGAGTATATATTGTTCTTATGTCATCAAATAATATGTTTATGTCATTTTATACCTTTCTCTTTTCCTTCTTTGTTTTTTCAGCTTGTATGGATTGAAGTCGCCACAAATCCAACTCTCAAATTTGTTGATATTCAAGCATGTGCCAAGATTGTCCATAAACATGAAGGAGTTATTTTAGCAGTGGATAACACTTTTATGTCTGCATATTTCCAGGTGAGCTAATTCAGAACTGTCCTGGAAGTGCTAGCAATGTGTGTGTGTGTGTAAATTTTTTTTGTCAAGAGTATATGTAAGTGGATGCTGCCAAATCCAGCAGTACAGAGCCCTTGTGTTTAAGTGAAAATATCATTGGAACAAAGAAAGGGGAGCTCAACTAGATTTGGTACCACTGTTCAGCTATTCATAAAAGGAACTGGGGAGCAACTTGTCTGCACAGAAAAACCACTCTCTCATTATGGCACATTATGGGATATTATTTTGTTCCAATAAAGCAAACTCTGTCCGTATTCATCAGATAGTGAAGAAGTTGCATTTGCACAAGATAAGTTTGTTACCTTTTTCCGTGTAATTTATTTAAGGTTAAAGATGTCTGGTAATCCATCTCACCATTATTTCTTGTAAGATCTTGCACACAAAAAAACACAAGTTCTGTTGTTATAATTCGGAGATCCTTGATACAGAAAAACTGTATTGCAGTGATTAACTCTTATCATGTTATGTTACTGGTAATAATAAGTAGATTTGGCTTTTAATGGTCCCAAGAGTCAATGTGCCAGAAACTAGACTTATCTCTTGGAGCCTAGAAAATACTGAGCTAGTCCCCAGTAGAACCCAGGGTGTTACAAGACTGTTACAAAGATTTTTCTAAATCTGCCATTCATCGTTGCTGAAAAAAAGCCCTGACAATTGTGTTTGGGTGAGAAGTGGTTAACTGATTTTAAAAAAAGAGTTAACTTCTGGGATTTTCTCTTGCGTGGTGTCACTTTGTGAATGGTAGGATGGTGGGACAGTCCTGTTCAACACCTTGACCATTCACCTGTGGAGTGTCTTGGTGTTCCTTGTTTCCCCATACTTTTTCACCTATACATGAAAATTCTAAAGGGGCTGTCCAAAATTTTGTGGTCTGTTGTCACCAGTGTGCTGATGACACCCAATTCCATCTGCTTTTTAATAACTCAGTCACTCAGGCTTCCACTATGTAGTCACCCAGCCTCCCACCACTCTCCACCCTAATGATACTAATGAAAACTGTTCCACCTACTGGATTAGTTATCTGGCTTCCATCGTTAAAAATTCAGTTCCCCTGTTTTCTCCTGTGTTTTCCCCCTCTGCAGGCCATACTTTATTTCTCTGCCCCATTTTCAGGCAACTTTAAAAATTATTTATGATCATTAACCTGAGCCATGACTAGGAATGTATTAGTGGGGCTTATGGCGGCTTCCCCACATACCCCACTCGCTTAACCCTTTGCAGCAGAAATTGCTCTCATACTCAGATTTTCTGTGATGCATAATATTCCTTAGGATCCATGAGCCAAAATCCTATTATGTGACATAAGCAAAGTTATAAGTTATTTATATATTTATTCAGTTTGTATCCCGCTCCCATTAGTGTCACAGCACTACTCTGGGTGGGTTACATCTGGTCAAATAGAAAATGAAAATAGAAATATTAAAACCGAAAACACTAACCCTAAAAAAAGGTTTCAATATATTTCTCACTGATGAATAGAAAGTTCCCACTGGGATTCTCCCAGGTGCTCTTGCACACACCCCAAGCAAGTCTGTGCACACAACCCTGAGAATCACAGTAGGGGCTCTTTATTTACGTTGTTAACATTACACAACAGGATTTCAGCCATTTTCTAACAACAAAGCCTGGCTCCCAGCACTGAAAAATATAGCCTGCAAAAGGTCAACAGACTCTACCCAGCCACAAGGACCAGTGATCACTGCACACAAAATAACAATACCTATCAATCACAGTGACAGATCATCTCTCCCCCTTATCACAACAATACATCCAGAACAAAAACATGCTGATCACCATAATTACTCAATCTCCTGAAAAGGACAAAAGCTGAGCCCACAGCTATAAATACTCAACTATCCAAGAAACTGCAACAGAGCACAGGCAGAGTTCTGACTCCTGTCCTCTGAAGATGCTGGCCACAGAGACTGGCGGAATGTTAGGAACGAGAACCTTCAGAACATGGCCAAAGAGCCCGAAAAACCCACAACAACCATTTTTAATTCCTGTTGATTCTCCCAACAGAAAACAAATTGAGCCATTTCCACCTTGATGTGTCTTGTTTCTTTCTCTTTTAGAGACCTTTGGCTTTAGGAGCAGACATCTGTATGTGCTCAGCAACTAAATATATGAATGGTAAGTGTAACTGTTATATAAAATGTGCATGCTCATGCTGATACTTATTTTAATCAGCAGTCAAAGAGCCTTTGTATCTTGCAGTATATTCTTTTTACTTTTAAGGGTTTTTTAATGTCACTTCAACCCCCTCCCCCAGATGTTTTTCCGGTGGCATTTTGTAAACATCTAATGCCATTACCCTTCTCCCAAAATAGAATATGTACACAGGAAGTCCATACTGGTTTCCCTTGAAGTTCCTTTAAATATAATGTCATAAGGCTATATTGTATATGAATGTATACTTTTTGAATAAGAAGTTTATATTTTTGAAAACTAGCTGTTTTTTCTTTTTTGCTCAGTGTTACTTAAGTGTTTGAAAAACACTTAAGTGTTTGTCTCTATTGTAAAATCTCATTGATCTAAAGCTGGAAAAAAGAGATTTTCACATGTGCTTTGCATGTAGCTCAAGTTAATCTGGCCTATTTTTCTTGAGAGAGTTGTGAGCATTTGAACTGCTCTAGAAACTCCTCTTTGTTTCCATTGATGTCAGCTACACAGGCTTTTCCTTCCAGATGTCCACACCTAATAAATATTCTTGGGGGACAACCTTTGGCCAAAGATTTGGGGGGAAAACCCAGTCAGCCTCTGAAGGGCATAAGGTGGGTAAGGGCTATCATAAAGCACACACGTAATAATAATTATGGGTTGTCAACTTCTGAATTATGGTGATCATTTAAGGATTTTTTGGGTATAGAACACTCAGAAACAGTTTTTTATTTCTTTCCTCTGCTGGTGGTCTACGAAGGTTCAACACAGAGTTTCCTGGAGACATCCAAGATCAAAGCATTGGCATCAGCTTGATTTGATCCTCACTAGACGCTCTAGCCTTCCTAGTATTACGATCATGCACAGTTCTCAGAGTGTTGATTTGATCATTCCCTGGTGTGTAGCAGAGTAAAACTGCGAATAAAGAGATTGTATCACATGAAAAAGGAAGGAAGACCGTGTATTGACATCAGGAAGAGTCGCGATCAGAGAAAAGTGGAGGAATTTGCCCAAGCGCTTGAGGAAACTCTTCCAGGCCCAGCTGATGCAAATGTACAGTGGGGTCTCGACTTACGAACGGCTCGACATACGAACGTTTCGACTTACGAACCGCTCTCATAGGAATATATGGACTCGACTTATGAACTTAGATTCGAGTTACGAATTCTTTTTTTTCCCTTTTTTTAAAAGCTAAGTCATCTTAGGTTAAAAGGAAAAAAGAAAAAATATCCCCCTCTAGTGGCAGAAGGCAGAATAGCAGCTTCCCATTAGTTTCTGTGGACGAAAAGAGCAGATACGGATTAAATGGTTTTCAATGCATTCCTATGGGAAATGCAGATTCGACTTAAGAACTTTTCGACCTGAGAACTGCCTTCCAATACGGATTAAGTTCTTAAGTTGAGACCCCACTGTACTTGAATGATGGGAACATTTCAAGAATGCTGTGTATAACACCACTTTGTCCACATTTGGCAAGAGAACTAAAAAGACAGCAGACTGGTTTGAAGCCCATTTGGAGAAGCTGATGCCAGCCATCGAGGAAAAGAGAAGAGCACTAGCATCATACAAAGCCTGTCCTAGTGCGTACAACTTGCAGGCTCTTCAAATTTCTCATAGCAAAGTCCAACAGGCTGCCAGGAGATGTTCTAATGATTATTGGCTTCACCTCTGCTCTCAGATACAGATAGCAGCGGACACAGGTAACATCAAGGGAATGTATGACGGTATCAAGCAGGCTTTAGGTCCAATATAGAAGAAATCAGCTTCTTTGAAGTCTACTACAGGTGTGATCATCCAGGACCGAGCACAGCAGATGGAATGCTGGGTGCAGCACTACTCTGAAATTTGGACAGAGAACCAACTTTAGCAGAAATAAAAGCAGTCTTGGATTCCCTCGCCTTCAGCAAGGCACCTGGGAAGGACAACATCCCTGCTGAAGTGCTGTAAAGAGATCGTCACCTCCGAGCTGAATGAAATCTTTTGTCTTTGCTGGAGGGAAGGTGGAATACCACAGGACATGAAGAATGCAAACGTCACCACACTGTATAAGAACAAAGGAAACAAGGGCAACTGCAGTAACTACCATGGCATCTCTCTTCTTAGCATTGTAGGGAAGCTGTTTGCCCATGTCGTGTTGAAGAGGCTCCAGGTGCTTGCAGACAGACAGCCCCTCTTTGTGGCCTCCATAGATCTTACAAAAGCCTTTGATTTGGTTAGCAGGGATGGTCTTTTTAAAATACTTCCCAAGATTGGATGTCCACCTCGATTCCTTAACATCATCAGGTCCTTTCATGAGGTAATGAAGGGCACTGTAATTTTTGATGGCTCAACATCAGATCCCTTTGACATCCAAAGTGGAGTGAAACAGGGCTGTGTCCTCATGCCGATCCTGTTTGGGATCTTTTTTGCTGTCATGCTGAAGCACTCCTTTGGAACTGCAACAGAAGGTGTCTATCTCTGGACTAGATCAGTTGGAAAGCTCTTTAATCTTTCTAGATTGAGAGCGAGGACCAAAGTCCAAATGCATGCGGGACTTCCTGTTTGCTGATGATGCAGCCATTGTTGCCCATTCTACTGAAGACCTCCAACAACTCATGAATCACTTTAGCAAGGCCTGCCAAGACTTTGGACTAACAATCAGCCTGAAGAAAACAGAAGTCATGGGCCAGGGCTTGGACTCACCTCCCTCTATTACCATCTCCACACAAGAATTGGAGGTTGTTTGTGACTTTGTGTACCTTGGCTCAACGATCTCTGACACTCTTTCCCTAGATGTCGAGCTGGATAAAAGCACTGGCAAAGCAGCTACCATGTTCTCTAGACTCATAAAAAGAGTATGGCTTAATAAGAAGCTGACAGCATATACCAAGATCCAGGTTTATAGAGCCTGTGTCCTGAGCACACTCCTGTACTGCAGTCAATCCTGGACCCTTTGTGCACGGTAGGAGAGGAAGATGAACATGTTCCATATGCGCTGTCTCCAATGCATTTTTGGCATCACCTGGCAGGACAAAGTTCCAAATAGAGTAGTCCTAGAATGAGCTGGAATTTTTAGTATGTATGCATTACTGAAACTGCGATGTCTGTGTTGGCTCAGGCATATTGTGAGAATGGCTGATGGTCGGACTCCATCTCCTGTATGGAGAATTAGTGCAGGGAAATCGCCACAGAGAAACCATAGCTGTGATACAAGGCTATCTGCAAGGAGGATCTGAAGGCCTTAGGAATGGACCTCAACAGATGGGAAACCCTGACATCTGAGCATTCAGCCTGGAGGCAGGCGTTGATTCACGGCCTCTCCCAATTTGAAGAGACATTTGTCCAGCCAGCCGAGGCAAAGAGGCAGTCCCGAAACCAGCAAAATCAGGGAGCTGGACAGGGGACAGATTGTCTTTGTCTTCTGTGTGGAAGGGATTGTCGCTTTCGAATTGGCCCCCTCAGCCACACTAGACGCTGTTCCAAGTCGTCCATACAGAGCACATTACCATAGTCTCTTGAGACTGAAGGATGCCTAATCTATCTCGCTCTGGGAACATTGAGCTTTACCAGAGACCTGATAGGTAAAAAGGCATATAACCTCAACAGCCACCCAGGCTTCAAGTGATCTCATGTGGCTCCTGTCTTAGGAGACACAGTGGAGATTCAGATTCCCAGCTCTTGGTTCAATAACCAGATGCTCTAATCCACTGAGCTAGACCAGCACCTCACATGTGCACATACAGTATTCTACTACACTTTTAAAACATATTTCCAAAGGAGCAATTAAGTTAGTTTCAGCATGTTGGCCAACGAAAAGAAGGCAGGAAGGAAAAAAGGAAACATTTTGTAGAACTTTAACAATGTTATTTCAATTTTATTTTAAAATTAAAGTAACTAGCTGTTTAAAACAAAAACCAATCTTTTGGCTGCAGAGTTACCAATGCTAGAGTTAAACAGATCTAGCATCATGGCTTAGAACTATACAGAAGGAATGTAGAGTCATAAGAACAGAAGAACTAAAAAAGCTAGTGTCCTTCTACCTATGTAAGCAATCAGTTAACCATTTTCTCCTCATTGGCCTCTTTGTGTTTTCAGGTCACACAGATGTTGTAATGGGACTGGTTTCAGTAAATGATGATGCTCTCCATGAGAAACTCAGATTCTTGCAGTGTGGTGAGTTAATAATCTATTAAAATTCTGAAATTTTAAAACTATCTTTTTCAATGTACCACTTTATTTATTCTAAAGATATTCTAATGCTTTAAACTGAAAGCAATAGAATATAAAACAGGACATCCCCATTCCAAACTATAGAGCTGTTGCTTAATTCATCCTTTTTTAATGGTATGATTGGAGCATAGCAAATGTACTTGTTTGGTCCATAAACAAGATGTACTTAAAAAAGGAGGAAACCTAAAGTGTGAAAAGCAAAAATGTTCTCCCAGCAAAGGCCTCTCCGTCTGTAGGACTATTGCTCCTTCCCAAATAGAGGACCTAAAGCTGTACTTGAGCCAATGTGGTACAGAACGAAGAGGCTTGAATTCAAACTGCACTCAGTCATCATGGCCCTGGCTGAAAGACTTCAGCTTTGTTATACATGCAGAAGGTAAACAACGTAATATCCAGTCACATCTAGCTGGCAATTATCAAGTTGCTGCTGAGATTTGTACGTCTGTGTGCATCCTTGAGAATTCCAGCAGGGACTTGTTAATTGCCAGCTTAAAGACACTGGAAGTTACACCATTTGCCATATGCATTCATAATAAATCAGCAGGATTTCAGCCCCATGACTAACTTTTTTCCGATGCTAATTTGCCACCTTTTAACCTGTGTTTCTATGAGGATTAAAAACACCTTAGTGGCTACGGTGGAAGTTGGGGGCAGAAGAGAGAGAACCACATAGCTAGCTTAAGCTTCTTTCAGGGAAAGGGAGCTAAAATGTAACCTGTGATGATTATGACTGAAGAATATTTTTGCAACAGAGTGATGGGCAGTTGCTGTGCTTTTTTCCTAGTTTAGATCCAGGTGGGCTGGTCTCAGAATACCACCACCATAATGCTATAACTTACTTTTCTGAATTAAGCCTTTGCTTAGGTTTGCTATTTTGTTCTTCTTCTGGAGATCTGGATATATCTTGACAGTGATGCAGAAATGTCATGTTCAGATCCTGTTTATACTTGACTTGGCCATTTAGTGAAGAGGGTGATTTCTGTGCTTTGCTTTGCAGCCATTGGAGCAGTTCCATCACCATTCGAGTGTTATCTTTGCAATCGTGGTCTAAAGACATTGGCAATCCGCATGAAACAACATTTCCAGAATGCCCTAGCTGTTGCCCAGTTCCTCGAATCAAATCCTAGAGTGGAAAAAGTTATCTTCCCTGGTATGTCAGTTAACAGTTGTTAAAGTAAACCTGAACCAAAAAAAGAAGGGATGGATGGAGGCCGACTTGGGTCCTTCACGTTTTCATTTTTTAAATAATAATGAGAAATAGTCATTTCCAAGCTCAACTTAGGTGTGTGTGTATAAATCCAGTTGCTACTGCCAAGGAGGTTGTGTTGTTGTTGTTTAGTCAATAAGTCATGTCCAACTCTTTGTGACCCCATGTACCAGAGCACGCCAGGCCCTCCTGTCTTCCATTGCCTCCCGGAATTTCGTCAAATTCATGTGGTAGCTTTGATGACACTGTCCAACCATCTCATCCTCTGTCGTCCCCTTCTCCTCTTGCCTTCACTCTTTCCCAACATCAGGGCCTTTTCCAGTGAGATTTCTCTTCTCATGAGATGGCCAAAGTATTGAGGCCTCAGCTTCAGGATCTGTCCTTCCAGTGAGCACTCAGGGTTGATTTCCTTCAGAACGGATAGGTTTGTTCTCCTTGTAGTCCAGGGGACTCTCAAGAGCCTCCTCCAGCACCACAATTCAAAAGCATCAATTCTTCAGCAGTCAGCCTTCTTTATGGTCCAGCTCTCACTTCCATACATCACTACTGGAAAAATTATAGCTTTGACTATGTGGACTTTTCTCAGCAAGGTAATGTGCTTAAGATGCTGTCGTCATCACTTTCTTCCCATGAAGCAGGTGTCTTATAATTTTCTGGCTGCTGTCACCATCTGCAGTGATCATTGAGGAAAAGTAAAATTAGGAAAGTAAAATCTGTCACAGCCTCCATGTCTTCCCCTTCTATTTGCCAGGAGGTGATGGGACCACTGGCCATGATCTTATATTTTTGATGTTGAGCTTCAGACCATTTTTTGTGCTCTCCTCTTTCACCCTCATTAAGATAGTCTTTAATGAGCTTAGACCCATTGAATTAATTGCATTTACACGATAGGCTAACTTTCCATTCAGCAGTTGATTGAGCTGGCCAGGGCAATTAGGTTCAAGCCTTGAGCTGCATATGTCAGTGGCCAAGCCCTCATCTGCAGCCAGCTTTGGGT